TTCCATGTATTATTAAAATTGCCAATATTGTTCCTTGTCTGTTAAACAAAGTAGTCTTACCACATGAATACAGATGCCAAATCATATAAGGTTTTCAAGCAGACATTAAATCTAGATACTCAAAGAACAAAGATAAAAGAATTTCAGGACTTTTTCCTTTAGTGACAATGTTAAAGATTCTTTAAACAAAGAATGACAACATTAAGACTCATAATAAACATCAGAAATATGCACTAATGTTGCAAGTGTATTACATATATAGTATGACAGTTAAACCTATAACATGTAGTGTGTTGTAATCAATATATTTTAAAATATCCACATTTTTGTTAAAATCACTAAAATTTAGTCATAGAAGATTGTAAGTGAGAATGTATTTAATTAATACAAAGTTGCCTTCTTTCCCATCCTTCAGCCTCCTGCTGCTGTTTGCATGGGAAGAGTGAGACTCAAATAGAAGTAAATAGCATGCTTGTTCAGGCAATCTGCTCAGCTCCTCTGTCCCTATATTGGTCTTAGGAAGGAATTAGTGGAAGGAATTTTCCCAGCAAGCCTGGAGAGTTTGTAATTTCCCTTTGTAGGTCTACAGCCTTTGAAGAACTACAAGAGTAGGGCTGAGAACTCGAAAAAAAAGACAAATTAGCATACAGTGATTGACTGTATGCTAAATATTTACTGTTTAAGGAAATAAATTTGTATACACACTCTACTGTTTGAAGGATCATTATAACCCTCATGGCCACAAGCTGACATATATCCATGGGATTTTAGAGTTCTTTGTTCTCATTGTTATTGTCTGAAGAGAAGTCTGCAACTCTTCCCCTGGGGCTTGGCTCATAACAGAGATTTTTGATTGCACAAATCCTTAAGTATGCTCAAGACTAAACGATCTAGAAGAGCCAAAAACGATTATAGTGAGAGTAATGACTCTGCAGTGCTGTGTCCTGGCACTGGCAAATCTCCCTGTGCCCCTGTGGAAAAAGACATGTGTGAGTTTGGAAGTAAAAATCAAATTAATTTGGAAAATCTGTAAATACACACTATCCAAAACAGTGATGTGAAAAGTGAACATAAAAATTGCTTTGTAAAAGCAAGACCAAGGGAGCTGTGCAGCCTGGTCTAGTGGTTGGAACTAGGTGACATTTATGGTCCCTTCCAACCTAAGCCATTCTGTGATTCTATGACATCAGTGGGCTTCATGCCTGTCCTCCTTAGCTCTCATCACAGTGGCAGCTTTAACTACCTGTATTGTACTGTTACAGGAAATAATTAAAAAAAAAATCAACCCCCTTTCCAAATTGGGCCTGGATCCATCTGTTTTGAAAACTGCTTTAGATTTTTGCACCTTGGCATAGTTCTGCCTTCTTTTGCACTCTCATTACTTCTTTACCATGTTCAAATTTATGTAAAGCCAATAGAAGCTTTATTGGCTGTTCCATAAGTCTTACCATCCATTTGATGGATTGTCATCTATTTTAGAAATCAACTCTTGTGCCTTGAATGTTCTCTAAAATAACTAATACATTGTTCCTTAAAAGCATTCCCTTGGAACTGTCAGAAGTCAGAGGGGTATGATTTAGATTCTCTAAGCATAAGACATAAGAGTATCCAGGGTTTTTTAAATGTGACTACACAGACAACACTCCCACCCTCACACAGAAAGAAGCAACTAAAACTTGACATACAGCTGGCAGTGATGCCAGGCCCTGATATACTAATCCTAATGCAAATAAGCATTGTGCTTGTACTGGAAATTTATGTACTCTAAAAACTTGTGGAAGTTTGGAACATTCATCTATTGCAATGTTTTCTATCAGTCTAAGTGCAGACAGCATTTAATGATCTGTGTAGGCTGAGACCTCAGACTGAGTATCTTCAGAGTATTTAGCAGGCTGAGAAGCCATTATCCTTCTGAACTGGGATGCTTGTATACAAGAATCGTACATTTTGTTCCTTGGTGGTACAGTCTATGTGTTGCAATGCAGACAGATTGTTTCATCCAAGAGCCTGTTATTCTGTGTAATGTGTCTACACAGATACTATTTTTCAAAAGAATGCCCTTCTGAAATCAATCATCTCTTTTTTGTCCCCCGGTACACTTTAGTTTTTCACCAAAAAGAATTCTAGGAGTGTATGACTGGTTTCCTTTATAGTAAAGGGTTGCCAGGTCCTGGCACAGACTGCCCAGAGAGTTATGGATGACCCATCCGTGGAGGCACTCAAGGCCAGGTTGGATGGGGCCCTGGGCAGCCTGAGCTGTTTGGGGGCAACCCTGGCCATGGCAGGGAGTTGGAAGTGGATGATGTCTAAGATCTCTTCCAATTCAAGCTATTCTGTGATTCTATGATGAAAATAAGCCAGAAGAAGCACTTCAGGAGTATATCTATTTAACTTGAGCTGCTGATGTCACTCAGTTCTGAGGATCACAGTAGACCCAATGTGACATACAACAACTTCAAACAGATGTACTGTGGATGCTAGGTCTTCAGCATCATTACAATGTATTAATTGTTCCTATTCTTGTTTAGTATAGATGTATTCAAGGGCAGGTGCTATAATAAAGAAAATTCCCAAGGAGACAGAGGAATGCTGAGATTAGTCTTCCTGTTGCTTATGAGTTCATGGGCTTTTTTTTTTTTCCAAAAAAACTAGGAAACTAAAATTGCTAAATTCAGAAGGGAGCAGAAACAGTGGATAGAGCAGAAAATTTTGGCTTTTTCCGCTTCTTTTCTACATCGTGTTATGTTGACCACAAAACCACAGGAGGATTATGTGCCAAGGAAAGCACAGAGCCAATAGTATCATTTATAGACATCCTCTGGGATCAACAGAATTTTAACAGGTTAAGGAGAATTTAATAGATTCCTTTCTGAATAAGTAACAAGAGCCGCAAATTAGTCCGTTAAAAATACATCACAAAATGCCTTTATTTTCTGTAACTAGGACTATTCCTAAGTTTTCTTATGGAGGATGTCAGTGAAATTCCTTGGAGAAATACATTTTATTTCATTATGAAAATGTATTCACTGCATTAGAAGCCTGAATACATTTTAAAATACTTCCCTTGATGTACATTTATATATATCTTAAAAGTTTTTTTTACTAGAACTCAAAGAGAAACATTTGAACTGTGTAATTAAATGGTAGACGATTCTTCCATCCCATCTTGAACCTTTCCAGTGGCAGTAACAGCAGCAGTCCTCTGCTGACCTTACCTCCCTGTACTATTTTTTCCTCAAGAATCCCCAGGTGGACCCTTCAGGCAAGAGAAAATATTCCCCAGCATAGATTTCCAATAGAATTTTCTTCAAGATGGTACTGTGATACTAACTGCTGCAGATAGGAAACAAAAATCTTCATTTCTATTAGGTGGGCAAGATATCGTTATCAATTCAAGCTATAAATCCTGTTGAATGGCAGAGTTTTAAATGGAATTCCTCTCAAAAATCTTCCCAGCTTACTGCTGATAAGTAAGATAAATCCTGCAGGTTGTTTCTTTATACTTCATATTGTTACATTTCTCCCAAAGACTATTAGAAAATTAACCCCTAAACTTGCTAAGCCAAAACAACCAGCATGTTAGGGAACATGGAGTTCTTCGCCTTCCCTTCAGCTCCTTGTCTGACTCTGGCTTGAGAAAAGCTTGAGCATTTCTTGCATTTTCTTACTCCACGCTGGGTCTTTGATCCTGGTTGAGACACTAATTCCTGTAAGAGTAGCAGTCCCACCGGGCTTCCTCACTTCTTAACCTAATTATTAAGAAAAGAATTCTCTCTAGAAATGCCTGACTGGTTCTGTAAACAGTTGTTCATCCTGTAAAATCTGAAAATCAGCTCAAGAAACATCATGCCTGTTCTGAAGAGATGCACGGAAAAAAAAAAAAAAAAATTATCCCAGACCTGAATAAATGTTGGTACAGGGGTAGTGAAAGGTTTTGTTTCAGTGCCTTTGAAGAAATCACCTTCCAGCTGGGCAGCTTAACAGTTTACTACTGTGACTGCTTGTACCCCTCTGAAACGAATAACTCCCTAAGTAAGGAGATTAGCTATCAGAAAATTAGTCTTATGTTATCTATCAAAAATACTCAAGGTTTTACTTCCCTTGAGCTGTCTTGATTTTAAAATACTACATAAACAACAGGGTTCTGATTTATTCGCTACGATGTCTCCATGCCAAGCTTTTTCCTCTGTAATCATATTAATTAAAATATTTATGAAGACTGGGTTTGTTCCTCCTTTATGCAAAGTGGCAGCTTTCAAATTATTTTTCACCATGAACATTTAAAATAAATGAATAAGACTAATTGGAAGAATTAATCACATAAGTTCTCTTAAGTGGCAAGAGAATATACCATTTGCATACAGGAAAGTGAAACAAACTTCTTACTAAATTTCTTTCTAATATTTCTTGTAATAAAAACCAAGTAGACTAGTGAAGGTTGTACATACTCACATCCATAATGATGCATTTTAATCATAATTTACTCATCAACAAACGGGACTATCATGGCAGCTGAAGCAACAAGAGATACAATGCAGTTCAAACACTGGGACATAAATAATGTCATCAGATTTGCTATGCCTAAGCAAATATACTGCTTTTTATTTTTCCTCTTGTATTTCATGAGGTATATCTCAGCAGACCTATCTATCTGTCCTCTATTTTTTAAATATGTACACACTATAATTCTACTATACTGCATGTGTTCTTGTTGCTTATAAATTTAGAAGAGCTGTGTACTGATCATTGTTGAGCTGCTTACACAGGCATTGAGATTAAGAATCACAGTGTTTCATATTCTAAAAGATACTCTCGGCATAAACATGTTCTGTTCAACTCACAGTGAAATGGATTTATGCAGGAAATCATTAAAAAGTCTGGTCTCAGAGTCAGTGTCACAACCAAGAGATAATGGAAGCCATGTTCTGATTTCTCTAAAACTGCCGTCACAATTCTTTAAAAAATGGTATTTAGAAATTAAAATTTATTTCCAAATGCAGAGGGAGTTCCAGAAAAAGCAGCCAAGTCTTCACAAACTTCACAAACTGAAAAATCAACCGAACCAGCTAAGGCAACTCAGCAAGAGCAGCATCAGCTCAATAATCGGAAAGAAGATGCCAAGTGAGTAAAATCAATTTGAAAATGTGAAGATTTTTTTCCTGATTCCCTGACTGTACATTTCTGTATGCAGTGTTTCAGTTCTTAGGAAGTTCTCCAGTACTGTAAAGATCTGAAAAGCATTATTTCAATTCTAAGGTAACCACACATACAAAGTATTCATTTAGTATATGCTTTTAGATTGTTTGATACCTCATTCTAAATTGCAGAATAAGGAAAAAGATTTCCTTATTACCCATGTAAAGTAAATCTAGTAATTCTGATAATCATTATTATTCTAACTTAGCAAAGGTGTAAGCCCCAGATTCCTGTTGTGAATATCTGGAAAGTTTGTCACATCATCCTGGCTTGAATGATTTTTACCCTGTACATATTTTCTGCTGTTATACTCTTAAATCACCATTAGAACATGCAGTCAGTTGATTAGAACATAATTTTCCTGAGGAGACAGAAATTAAACAATAATTGTTCTTCGGAGAAAAAGCCCTTCAGGAGAAAATCCTGGATCATTCTACCTTTGAGAAAAGCATAGGTAAAGGTTTGTTTTGCTCAAACAGGATTGAGAGAGAAGTCCAAGAATGTATAATCCTATAATAATCTATAATCTTACTACAGCACCATAGATTTGTAGAATATCCAGGGTTGGAACCCCTCTCCAAAATGAACCAGAACAAATGTCTGCTAAGAATGTAGAGGTTAGACCCAGCTTCCAAATTAGAACAAGTTGATCAGAGCACTGTCCAGTTTAGCTTTGAATCTCCAAAGATGGAGATTCTATAGTTTCTCTGGGCAATCTGGTCTACCTCATTCCTTGCCTTTTTGCTGTAAACCTCCAAGAACAGTCTAGATTCATATTCTATATAGAACACTGCAATTACCTCTATCTTCTCAACTCTTCAACTCTAGTCTAAATAAACCCAATTTTCTGAGTGTCTCCTCATACATATAGTCCCCAGTCATCCTGATAACCCTAAGCTAGTTTTGTACCATGTTGTCAGTGTCTTGTTTTAAGGGAGAAGCCACAGCTGAACACAGATATCATCTCACAAACGTCATAAAAGTACAAATAACCATTCTCCCTCGATCAGCTGGCTATGCTTTTTCTAAAGCATTGGAAGTGACCAGCCTTCATTGCTGCAAGAACACACTGGGAAATATGGATTATTTAATATGGATTCATATTAAATTTGGCCTGCTAGGACCCTCAGATCCTCTTATGCAAAGCTGTTTTCAACTCAGTCAGCCTCAAGCCTTTACAACTTGCATGGGGTTAATTCAGGTGCAGGAATGTCTTTGCTCAGCTTCATGAAGTTCTTGTTAGCCTGTCTCCCAGCCTGCTGAGAACCATTTGAAAGGAAAATTATGGATATACTCAGCTCATAACAGGGTAGAAACTCCTCCTACTTGCTTTTGTGTTCTATTATTTTGATTATCCTGATGACATAAACCAGAAGTATTTTCCTGACATGTAGTTATTAATTTATGGAGAAGATTGGCTATTTCCTTTCTGTCACCAACCCAGACTTTGTAGTGCAGTGACAAGCAATAATCAAGCAAAATACTAATGCATATGCCTCCATAAAATAATACATGCAATAAAAACAATTCTGACTGAAGTGTCTAAAAATATTATAAATAACTTGTTAATTTGAATGTGAATCAGTAGGTCAACAATGAAAGCCAAGATTAAGCTATCTCCTTTTCTGTCACTGTAGGATATGTTATTATATATTTACAGTTCCACTGAGAAGTTCTATAACCATGGTTAACACAAGTATAATATGCTTATGAAACAAAGGGGGTGTTGGTGGTTAGTAGAAGAGAAAACCTGCCAGTTAAAATGGAATTTAAAATGTTTCTATTAAACATTCTCAGAGCTGTTCTGACTCACTGTCATGCATGCATGCAGTTAGATGCATCTAGTCAGTCTAATTAGAACAGCTTCTAAAAAGACAATAAATCCTTGGCAAATGCCACTGTCAAAACAGTTAGCCGCTCAGTTCTGCGGTAGAGCTTGGGAGGCATGGCACTGGTGTCATCATGATTGTATGAAACTAAACAGATCTATTATAAAGCTTTCAGAGCTGGAGGGAGAATCATTTTAAAATGGCGCATTTTCTGAAATTTAATTCATCGTCCCTGATACTCATGGGAGTCTATTCAGACAAAATTGTCAATCAAGTTCACTATTTTATTTTGTCTATGCATTCAAATTTACCTAATAGAATATGCTATATATATGTGTGTGTGTGTGTGTGCAGAATTTGAGGTGAATGGAAATGATAATGGAAATGATATTAATAGAGAAAGTTTTACCTTATCTTCATTTACTGCAGCTTTCAATTTTTTTAAATGTATCTCTGCAGGCTCAGATACGTAGATTAAGGAAGAATAAAGGTAGTAGCCATGTTTGAAACAGCATGCTTTCCAGTTAGATCAGGCCTGCATTTCTCCATATGGTATTTCAGGGTGAAGTAAAAAACTTCCACATATTCAAATTTTAAAATCCTTAGGGTTGGGTAATATTGCTTTATGAGCATTCATACTAATGCAACTAACTTATCTGAAGTCAGTAGGACTACTTATGACAGTTTGCAGGGTTGTGCACCAGGTGTGTCCTTCTTCCAGTTCATCTGCATTAGAATAGACTTTTACTCATGATGCAACACAGCCTGTGTTATCTATTAATAGGGAAGAAGTTTTCTGAGTCTCCTCTGAAAGAGCAAAATGGTTATTTCTCCTGCTAAGTAAATGACAACTTTGACAAAGGCAGCATTTATTCCTGAAAAGTCCCACATAAACTTTGTCCACAAGAAAAAGAATTTGCTTTCCCTCTGGACATATACTCATTTTTCAAATATACAAGTACATTGCAATGGACATTAATATTCAGCAGAAAGACATAGCTCTGATTTTCCTACAGCCATCTCAACGCTAAGTCTGAAAGCATAGACACACACACAGCTACCAAGGCTCTGAAATGTAACAGAGACTGAAACTTTCAGTATCTGTTTGCTAATAGCTTAGATAGGATTCCACACAAGTCTGCCCCTCTGCCAATGCATTGTTTCTTCCCTCCACCTCTAATGACAACATAAGAATAATAATCCATTTCCATGAATAGCTATTTGCTGAGCAATAATAATTTCTACAAAGGAGGGTTAAGAGTATGCTGTCTCTTCACAGCAAGAAATGAGAGAACAGAACAACACTCAGAATCTAATTTGCACTCTAATAGAGGACACTGTTATCTTATTGACAAGGAATTAGCATAAAACTTAATTGCAGCCTTCATATTATACCAAGATTTCTTTCTACTGGGAAGGGTTTGTAAAAACATGTGTGCATGTACATAGCCATAATTTTTTTTTGAAATGCGGTGCAAGCATTTCAGGCAAGATACTCCACAGCATGTAAGCAAATGTGGCACATCCTCAGGAAAAAACAATGACTGCTCTTGCTTGGAAGCAGGGAGCTGCCAGAAGGTCCCTGGGCAGAGGTCAGCCCTGGTTGAATTCCTGCAGTTCTTCTCCCCACTGTCACCAAAGGTAGGGACAGCCTTCAATGGCATTGCTTTAGATCTGGCCCTGAGCACAGCAGCCATGCTTCCAGGAGGGGATAATATGCTTGCTTGTATAATCATTTCTCATTTCTGTACTTTTAATTTTTAAATACTTTTTTTTTTCCCCTAACCTGAAAGTTGACCTTGTTCCTTTACCATGTAGTTTAGGAAAGTTACCACCATTGCAGATTCACCTGCCAGTCTCAGTTCATGCAGATGACTAAAAGAAGATGCAGCCCTTCCCTTGGTCCCATCTTCTCATCCTTTGTTTTACACTTGTTCAACCAGGTGTCCACTGGATCAGCTTGATCCAGCTGGAAACATTCACTTGTCATATGGTCTCCTACCAACATGAAGACACCACAGAAAGGTACAAGAAGGATGAAATGAAGTTGCCAAAGTTAGGAGAATCAGACAAGTGTTTCATGAGATTGGCACCCTGAGAATAATGGGCTCTAGCAAATAGAACAGACAAGACAATCTGATGGTTTCTCTTGGTCTTAAAATGTAAAAAAAACTTCAAATACTTTGAAAGAGGCATCAACAAAGTTACTGCTCTGCAGTGAAATAAACCCAGAAATACACCTCATCAATCACAAAGCTGAAGGAATGCCTTAGTTATGAGTAGAATAATTTTTCTGACTTTGATTCAAGTTAAAATAGTTGCAGTTCACTCAAAAAAAAATCCCAAACCCTAAGGTCTCCAGACCATTTTGCTCTGCAAGAAGAGTGGTACAGTATTTTGTACACAAGAGAAGACACCATAATTTGCTTTGTGACGGTATTATTTGGAACCCAAAATCTAATGGGCTATTTTGAAAAGACATTATTACAAATGTGACACAGGAGAGACAAATGCAAGACCTTGATATGACCCTGCACTGAAGGGTGGCAATCAGCATAGTGCTTGGGACATGTGACAGTTGGTTAAGACAGCTATAAAGGCTTATGGCATAGAGGTGAGTAGAGGTGAGACAGATATCTAAGGAAGAATTAACAGGGGATGCCTGGCCCCAAGGAGTGAGACTGAGAACCTGAAGCAATCTAGAAAACATAAAGGATGGCAGAATAGTACATGAAACAATTGAAAGCCTAGCAGAGAAAAATCGAGGGATAAAGAAGCCTTCAATAACCACCTCTCTCTTCTGTGTATTTCAAAAGCCTTTAAGCCTGGATAAAGTTGTAAGAGTGTTTCATCTTTCCAGATTACCAAGATGATTACATTGTACTATTTATACTAAGGCAGTACACTGAAAACCGCAGTCAAGGATGGTGAACCCTGCTCTGTAAAATGCTGTGTAAAATGACAGCCAATACTTGCAGGCTACATATCCAAGAGTATATGATGAAAAAAATACAGCAGGTAACCAGGACTTCAGATGCTTTCACATTTCACCCGAAGATGCTCTGTCCATAAAAGAACAAAAAATTGAATCTGATA